CACTTTCAGGACTATGTAGTAAAAAGATTATTTTACTACATAAAAGAGAATTGATCTAAGATAAAGGATATTTTTAAGATATGTTAATTTTAATTATAATAACACTATACCAATGAGAGAAAACTCCAACATTTTTCCAAACATAGTTTTGTACTGTGGCCATATAATAATAATATTATTTCTTAGAAATTATTATTAGAATACATTACATGAATATATGAAACCAGAAAAGGTTTCATCATATGATGAAGGCCTTAAAAGGTAGACTGACGAGTACCATTAGATTTGCTTTTAAAGATTCACTACAAGTTTTCAAACTGCCAAAATATTGTACAAGAATAAAATATATAAGTTTAGGATTTCAGAAGTGAGAAAAGACTACTCTTCAGTTATATAAAATTGGTTATAAATTTATTGATTGATTCAGCAAACTAAATTTTTAGCTCGCCAACTCTGAGCCGGGTTCTCTGGTAGACACTGAAATAAAATAATAAACAAGGCAGATATGCTCTTTGTTCTCATTAAGCTTCCATTCCAGCCAGATTAAACAACAATAGCAACAATAAAATGTCACAAATAAGAAAACGATAAGTGCTCCATGGAAAGTTAACAGTAAAGTATGAACCGCATTTCACTAGTAATGGCCTCTTGAATGAGATACTTTTATTTTATACTTTTTTCTTGTCTTTCTTCTTTCCCATAACCAATCTGCTGCTAGAATTGCATATTTCCTTCAGAACTGCTCTTGGGACTGTCCTTTCTTCTCCTGTGGGACCTAGCAGAGGCCTCACCGCTGGGTTAGTAAAACGAGAATTTGGAGCAAGAGCCACCAATGTCAGTGTCAGCTGGTGAGAGCCAACTATTATAATGAAGTTCCTTTGAATTTAAATATTTTAATTGACCTTCACATCTGAAATTACTTAGGACCTGCATTGGCTGTGAAGATGGGCATCAAGGTTGGCAGCTTGTGGTGACTGTGCCTGACATGGCACTCAGGTCCTGGAGGAAGAGGAAAAAAAGAGATGGTTCTCTCTCCAGTCACTGCCCTGTGCATCAACTAAGTGCCGCAGTCCTGGGTCATTCTGCACAATGTATGGGGGAAAGTGAGGATACAATGGGAATAGAATTTTAAAGCTACTTTTTCTTCTCCCATAAGCAAGAAACACATATACTCACTTTTTCATTGTAGATGTCACCAAGCATTGTACTTGCTTTCACAACATCTAGCTTTTGAAAATTGTTTCTTGCCAGTTTCACAAATTTCTTCAGGTATGTAATGGCTTCTACCATCTCTCCTTGGCTAGAATAAATAAAACAGGAAACTATTGGAGTATCATTTCACTTAATATCACAGTGAAGAGAAGATCTTGTGCATCTTTTGCTTTAGAAAGTGCAAGATGGTTATCAGGATAGTGAAATTTAAAGTGAAAATATCAAGTTAAAAATACATGGCTTGATTTTGTTGGAATATATAGTAAGTTACAATGTAAACCTTTTAACCTTCATGCATGGCTGGTGGAAATGTAAACTGCTGCAGCTGTGTTGGAAAACAGCTGGTCAATTCCTCAGAAACTTTGACATAGAGTTGTCACATGACCCACCTATCCTACTCCTACATATATACCCAAGAGAAATGAGAATATGTCCATACAAAAACTTGTACATGAATGTTCATAACAACATTGTTCTTCATAGCCAAGTGGAAACAATCCAAATGTCTATGAATGGATAAACAAAATGTCATATATCTATCTGTACAATGGGATATTATTTAGCCTCATTCTTATAAGAAGGAATGAAGTATTGATACATGCTATTATATGGATAAACATTGAAAACATACTAAATTAAAGAAGCCAGTCACAAATAGCCACATATTATATAATTCCATTTACATGAAATGTGCAGTAGGCAAATCCATAGGGACAGAAAGTGGGTTAGTGATAACCAGAGGCTGGGGAGTGGCTGCTAAAGGGTGTAGGGCTTCTTTTCAGGGTGATGAAAATGATCTCAAATTAAACTGTAAATATACTGAAAATGACTGAACTGTAGACTTTAAAAGGCAAATTGCACGGTATATGAATTATAACTCAACAAAGTTGGGGTTTTTTCAATAAAACCTTTTAAAAGTTTATGAAAGGTGAATGGTAGTTTGTTTTTGTTAGCATCCCTCGGCAGTGAAGTCTCAGGCATCCCAGAAGTTACCTGTACAGGTGTTATATGCTGGTAAAATGCCCAGAAAGACATCGTTTCTAGCAGAGTGCTTGGTATATACCAGCCATTCATATAGTTTTGAATGAAGCAATGGTAGAAAGTTTGAGACGGGAAATATTTATGCAGTAGACATGAAAGTCAAGCTTCCAGGTAAATTGTGAGAACCCCAGTCATGGGGTTGGATGTTTGAAGTTCATGACTGTGAACTCCTATCTTCTGGATATTCCAGTAATATCAAGAAACCTAGAATGCTACTTTCTGGGGAATATGGTTCCTGCTTTTAAAGAGTTTCCCTGTCAATTTGGAGAGATAAATATGTAAATTTGTGCATGGGATTAACTGTGATGGGTACGATGAACTGTGCATAGTGCTTTGACACTTGGAGCACATTCCCTTCAATATCCTCCTCACAAGAACACGTCTAGAGCTTACCGTGTAAATTTGATCGTAAAAGGCAGCCAAAGGATTTGGAGCCAACTCCAGGGAATACAATGGTGAACTCAAAGCACCTATATAAATTTGAAAAACTGTCATATGTTTGAATTTTGAAATGGATCACATGTTTAGTGTATATGGACTCAGGCTCCTTGCCCTGCTCCCAGGCCTCTTCGTCCTGTGCCTTTACTCAGGCCTTAACACACAGGCTGGGAATCCCGGCTGTTAACATCCCATCTTTCTCCAAATGGTTCTCCTTCTACTGTCCAGAACTTCCAGCTGACCCGTTTTCTCATATTTTTATCTTCCTGGGTATCTTACTGACATTAGAGTCTCTACCCACCCAAAGTTGACTCTTTCCGGAGTTCTAAGACTGTCCTCCCCCTCCACTAGATGCTTACTATGGGCAATTTCACATGCTGCTATTGCGTGCTCTAACTCCTGTATGCGCACATGGAAAATCTATATTTCTACACCTCATTCCCCCCGGCCCCCGGACTGTATTTCCAAATGTCCAGATTTACTAACATGCAAAGGAAGAGAATTTCTTCCAAGTGGTTATCTCCAAAGATGTCACCTAGTGATGAAGCTGATGGCATCTTGAAATCCCTCTTTAGGAAACATCTTCATAGTGTAGGTTTATTATAAAGCATTTATAAGTAATTTAATCAATTATGTCCCCCAAATGGAGTTAGCCCTAGAGATTATTATGTGTTTGTTTTTTTTCTAAATGTGACTCTAAATCCTTTGGCTGTTTGCAAATATCAAACCTACCTCTCAAACAAAGATGCACATCTATAGCGGTCATTCAAAAGAATATGCCAGCCCTGACCGGTTTGGCTCAGTGGATAGAGCGTCGGCCTGCAGACTCAAGGGTCCCAGGTTCGATTCTGGTCAAGGGCATGTACCTTGGTTGCGGGCACATCCCCAGTGGGAGGTGTGCAGGAGGAGGCTGATCGATGTTTCTCTCTCATCGATGTTTCTAACTCTCTATCCCTCCCCTTTCCTCTCTGTAAAAAATCAATAAAATATATTTTTTTAAAAAAGAATATGCCACAAGCATTTCAAAGGTGTGCAATTTATTATTATTATTTTTTATTTTTATAAATCTTGATTGTTGAAAGAATTGCATATGTCCCCCCTTTTTTTAAAAACAGGTGGTGGCAGGATTAGAGGTATCAACTTGCATAACCTCCCAAGATTTGACAAGGACCACATGCATGTTCATAGATAAGCTTTAGTATGTTTATAAAAATCAGGTAATTGCTTTAAAGTTGCAGAGTGCTATGGTGCATATTAGAAATATCTAGCCATGAATCCCAAGTTTGGCCTTTTAATTGAATAGCTTTGAACACATCTCTTCAGCTCCAATTTTCTCATTTTTAAAGTGACCACAGAGTGTTGTGAGATGAAAAATTACATGCATGTATAGCCTGGCACACAGAGATTCATTAAATGACAGCTATTATTATTATTATTACCTCTCAGTGAAGTAAAAAGTTATCATACCCACAGTTCTCTGCTTGGTAGAATCTACCACCAGCTGAGAAGAAAAGTCAAATTAGCTAGACATTACTTTTAGAAAATCTTTCATTATGAATGAAACACCATGGTTTGAGGGGACACTTTGCAAGACAGATAGGCAAATAAAGTCCTACTATCTATTTTCTAGGGGACATGTGTCAAAGAACTAACACTTTTTGTTTACTTGAGTATTAGGCACTATCAAATGCATTATTTTTTCCTTTCTTACTGGTAAGAGAATGGTTTACATATAAGAAATAGAATGGAATTTTACATTCCCAAAGTTAATATTGCCTTTTATGATTCAGTTCTCACCTTCTCATAAAATTATGAATAATCTTCTTCTACATTTAGGCATGGCTCAATTCTCCAGAAAAAATTATGAGTTGTTATGAGGATTATTTCAAATGCAGACATGAATTAAAATATTAAAAAGAGGTATACTCATTGCTTTAATTTAAATATTTGCTTCATGGAAAAACAAAAATGATAGAGAACTCAAGAGTATAAAAATATAAATAAGTATATTAAGAATTTTGAGCAAACTCATAAATTTCTAGAACTAAAAATGTTTGATCAAATTGATGTTAACTCTCCAAGCTCTTTCTTGGATAGTGGTATTCAAGAAAAAAAATATGACATAAAAAATAGAGAATTCTTTGCATATCACTTTAAAACCTTAGGGGGAAAATTATTGTTTTTATTTAGCTAAAATGGATTCACTGAAGCTTATTTATGTTCATGTTCCTAAAAGCTGATATATTTTTGATGGAAGTATATTTTGAATTAAGTTTGGCCTGCTGAGGATTGTTAAATCACAACATATACAATCAAACAAACAAAAAAGCACAACAAGTTCAGTGAATAAGAAATACAAAATAGTATAAATAAAACTATTGCTGGGTGAGTCGAGTTGTTTTCCTCCCAAAGGAGCAACAGATCTCCAAAGCATCGAAAAGTATCTGGAACTTGCTCTAACAAATAATGCTACAGAAATAGCCTTCCCATTATAAATTATATGCTCCACTCAGTGAATACACAGTTCTATAGCCAGCAAAGCTGTTAATATAGCATCTGAAATATAAACATTATATGTTGCTTAAAGGATTTCTAAATTTAAAAGTTAGCCTTAGATTTAGAAGCCAGTCTTTCTTTAGAAGGGAAAGAATAAAAATTTTTTTTTATCACAGAAATGCTAGGGATTACTTGAATGAGTTCAAGGACAAGGTTAAAATGTTAGACAAATATTAATTCCAGTTTTCTATATGCAGTGCACAGGTGCAACTTGAGCAGCATATTATATGGTATAATCATTAAATTCATTCAACCAGACCTTAGAGAGTTAAAAACATATATTCTGAGGAACAGGACTCCTCGGTCCAAAGAATGAGAATGAAACAGTGCAGAATATTTGTGTATCAAGGTGATTCCAGTTTCCAACTGGGAAAACAGGACTGTTAACACCCACATCCCCTGACAACTGTCCAATTATGTATATCACACTTGGCCTACTGTTTGCAGTAGAAGTAATCAATAAAGGATGTGGTTGAGTGAACATAGATTTTGGTTGAACCAATGCATGAAAACTTAATCATTTACTCAGAGAGAAGAAATCAAATAGAGCAGAGATGAAGCGGCCGCCGAGGGGTTTGTTGATTGTGCTACCAAGTTTGTGGGCCACAGATGAAAGCAATAAGGCAAATGGAATCAGTGACAGGAGAAAATGTAAAACGCTGTCCTTAATTTCATGAATTAATAGAAATGTTTTGATGTATTTTGGGGGGTCATTTTTAGGAGATTTCGCATCAAAGCCTGAATGTTCCATTTTAAAGAATATATGGAAATTACTAGGGCATGTCATTTCTCTCAAGCAAGAAGAAATTAATTTTCAGCTGTAACAGGAAGGTAATTTTCAAACTTGAAACTTTGTACTGATTGATTGAAAGATGTCCACTGTGGAAAGTTTTCTAGAAAATAATTGAACCTGAGTTTATAAGAAAATTTACAAGGGCTATGGAATAAACCCAGACCAATTGTGACCAAGGTGTCTTGAACAACTGCCATTTTTGTAATTTCCCCCCTATATAAGCCACCCTGATTATGTTGGAGAGTTGTGCCGTTTTAGTAAATGAGTTATTTCAGAAAATGAGGCAAAAAATGCTGTAAGAAAAATTGAGGTTATTCCCCCTTCTATATTTACTCAAATTGTCTGTCTACATATAATAATATTTACTTGGTAATTTCTCAACTCACTGTCTCTTTGTTTTATGGACTATAATTCTGGCTTTTATAGCTGTGTCATGGGCAATTGTTATGTTAGAATACGGACTCTTTTTTTCCCCACTAGTATTTCAAGTAGGAAAAAAGGGCATTGTAAATGCCTATTTTCTGTTAGGCTGCTTAATGTTATTCAGACCAATAGCAAAAATAACAAACCCGGCTCATTATTAAAACCTGCATCAATAACTCTAATACCAGGGATAGTTCTAGCATTACCAACTGAGCAGCTCTGCATTACCAAGTCCTCAGCCTGGAGGGAATGTGCTGTGTTTTTCAGTTGAAATCACAGTATAAATTCTTATAACCATTTTAGAAGCTTCCAGCCTTACAGCCTATTCACCCTTCATGCATGCTCAGCTGATGGCCTCAGACACACACTTATCCCAGACATGGCTATCCTCTTCCATTTCCTTTAAAGAGATAAAATATGTTTATAGAGATAGGGCTTCCCATTAGTGAAGCCTGTGCAATTGCACAGGTTGGGAAAGAGATTTAGAGGTGATGCTAAGCTCCATATGCAGCTTGATTTATTCCTCAGCCGACACCACCATAATTTCCTCTATTTTTGTTGCGCTCTATTTCTGCTAATTTGAGGACAGTTTAGGACTATGAAAGGGACATACATATGTGTGTGTGTGTGTGTGTGTGTGTGTGTGTGTGTGTGTGTGTGTATGTGTCAAAAAACACCAAGCCCTTGAAGCAAATTTTTTAAAAAGATCACAAAATTCTTATCAAAACATTTCTAGTAAGTAGTGGGCTTGATTTACTAAGGCTTCTCAGATATTTCGGGTGCTGATGTTGCCTGTACAGAACTTTTGGTTTTGACACATCTGCCCACCTCTCGAGTTATTTTGCACACATGGAGAAGAACATGCCAAGGCTTACACTCCCGGGAGCGCTCCTCCATAACCACCAGCAACGCTGCAGGTTTGGATTGGAAAGCTGTTGTGGACTTGGAACACTTTTGCCCTAAGACCTCCCAAGAAGCATCTCCTGTATTCTTGTGTGCTGCATAACATTAGTAAATGTAAAGCCCACAGACATCATCAACAGCTTCATCTGCAATTTGGTTGATGAGAATTCTTATAGGTGGAATTAGTTTCATTTGGAATAAAAGTGAGCTAGGGATAAGTCTTCCTGCCCATTATAGGTTTGCCCCAAGGCAGGTTGCTGGACTGTTGAGAATATTGGAATTGAATTGTCCCTATGACTACCCCAAACACACCCCACTTCATACGTCAAATCTTCCAAAGCAATATTCTTTTCCACACCTGCATCCCAAGTAATACTTAAGCAGTCAAATTAAAACATTAGATTGTCTGTTGTTGTTATTGCCAATATTTACCAATAATTGTTCAACTCCCACCTAGCTTTTACTCTATAGACCAGAAATTCAAATCCTGGAGTGGAGACACTAAAATATCCCAATGAAACATTAGGTCAGTGATGGCGAACCTTTTGAGCTCGGCGTGTCAGCATTTTGAAAAACCCTAACTTAACTCTGGTGCGGTGTCACATATAGAAATTTTTTGATATTTGCAACCATAGTTAAACAAAGACTTATATTTTTGATATTTATTTTATATATTTAAATGCCATTTAACAAAGAAAAAATCAACCAAAAAAATGAGTTCGCGTGTCACCTCTGACACGCGTGTCATAGGTTCGCCATCACTGCACTAGGTTAACAGGTGAGAATTAAGATAACCGCATGTCTCCAGAAGCTTCAAAAATAATTGTATTTTTGTAACCAAACACTTGTCTGCTCAATATGTTTACAAAAGAAAATATTTTCCTCTGGAGTTTTATTTCTCTAGTTACGTTGGGACACAATGTCATTTTGTAAAAATTATTTTATAAACACATTAACAGACACATTTATTTAAGTGTATGGGCTCAGGCCAGGTCTGCTACTACAAAGCAAGATAAATAATCCAGCCAGTTTTTACTGATTCTGAGCAGTGCTAACAGTAGGGCTAAATAATTTAATAATCAAATAGAGCTGGACAAAAGGGCACAGAGTTTGTGTGTCCCACATAGACACGAAATTGAATACATACGTATCTATTCTTTGTGTTCAAACATTTGCTTCTTTTCCATTGTTATTTGTAAAGTGAAAGTGTGAGGGACAGTGGGGTTGCTCTTCCATGGTGAGTCACTAATCGTTACCTGGAGGGACCACGACACTCATGTGGCTCTGCCTTCCGTGAGCAGACGTCCATTCTCTCCTTATACATATGTCCATGTCCTTAGCCTGCACCCAGTGATGGCTGCCTGGCCTTTTATTTGGCATTTTGTAGGGCACCTTTTCGTTCATTGGTGTTGGATTTTAATATTTAATTATTTATTTATTTAGCACTTAAGGATTGTTACATAATGATGACCTACTCTTACTTCCCTAGGCATATGATGTTTTCAATGACTTTTAAATAACAATTTTACCTTTTAAAACACCACCCTGTATATATTTACAAGTAAAATATAAATGAGAAGAAATTAAACTTGACACAATCTATACCTATATTATTACTATCATGATTAAAAAGCTGTATCTTGTATATAAGATAACATACCCAAAACCAAGGTCTTAACTTTGATAACTTTTCTTACCCAATCTTAGACTACCTTGCCTTACATTATAATGCTAATGGTGCTCCTATATGATGCAATGCTTAAATGGAGTGTACAACGGACACAGCGCAATGAGTGAAGGGCCAATCATATATTTTCCATGGAAAAATTTGTATCCGAGGTTTTTCATGTATACTTTCCTTAAATTTTCTGTTTTAAGTGAAATTTTGGGAATATTGTTTTTGCACCCACTTGTTCCTCCAGATCTGCTCTATGGAGAGATGTCTTAATGGAAGCAGCATGACTGAAGCGTAAGTGGACAGTTCCCTCCAAGAGGAGATCTGGCAAGGTGCGGTGAGCCACAGTGACTGACGCGTACTATGTGCTTCCATGCTCTCTGCTTTTTTAACCTGTGAGATGTGACCTGATTTTTCCCTTTCACTCAAGGTCATCACTAAATGTACAGAAAATCAAAAATAAAGTAATACAAAGGAGGAACAGACAGAGAAGACTTTAGACGCACAGCTCGGAAGACCACATTGGTTTAAAATAACTTATGATGAAAGGGTCACTTAAGAAGGGCACTGCTTAAAATTTAAGCAGGCAGTAATGGAAAGCGACAGACCTCAAACAATTTAAGTCTTTCACAGTTGAGTGAATTCACAGTGACAGGAAGACACGGATGTGCGAACGTACCTCTGCAGGACTCTGGCTATGGCTTCGTAGGCTCTCCCCAGGCTGAGGTCATCCTCCAGCTCCGTGGAGATCTCACTGTAAGTGCTGAGGTCCTAGCAGGAGGAGAAACACATGTGAAACGCACAGCACAGCCAGAGTGATTAAAATTAATAGTTGTTTTTAATGTTTCCATAAACTATTTTTTTGTTTATTAAAAATTCATGTTGGTTTGGTTTATTTTTATCTATAGTATAACTTGTTTCACAGCATTCTCTTTAAGCCGTGACAGTGAGGTCTTACTTTCATGGTAATAATTCTTTTCCTGCACAATCCAAAATCGCCCAATTTATATAACTTAGGTGTGAATAAATAATTGAATGGCTTGCACCATTATTTTAAAATATGGGACTATTACCTAAGGTAATATAAAGCAGATTATAATATTCTACTATGGGAGCTTAAATATCACTTTTCTTTCTATAAATAGCTGTTTGAAAAACATGAATTTAGGTGCCAGGCAATTTCTAAATCTATCATTTTATTAGATGCATTTCTCACAGTTTGTACACATTCAGTATACACTAAAAGTATTTCTTACAAATGTACTTCATTACCAACAATCTCTTCAATAATCAAAAGATTATGGCTGCCACAATCTAATGCATGATATTAATTTAATTTAATTTAACGCTGACATCATCTGTATGATATCGTTTTTCTTTTTATTCCTTTCCCCTTTCGATGGCCAAGAGAAGAAAAGTACGTAAAACAAAGCCCCCATTCTTTCTTCTTCCTTCATTGTTATTTGAACCAACCTATTACACACAGGAGGATACAGGAAATCTCCAAAGACCTCTATGGAAATCCTTTTAGTACATTTTCTAAGAAAGAATTAGTGAGAATCATTTGACAGCATTGGGAGAGTTGGTATGAGGGAGGACACCAAGATGAGCGTGGACCATGGCCTGAATTCGGCAGCTCAGAGAATTAAGTATTAGAGGCAGTGTTGGTCTTCTTCTTTACTTCCTAAAAGTTAATAGTTGGGAAATAATTGAGAGAAGGCCATTGGGATACCTCATAAGATTTGGGTTTCCAAGTGAGTGCTTGGCAGATACTCATATTAAAACTTACTGATACATGCTGACCCAGTTTAATTCCCACTAAACCTGCAAAGTTCAAATGTTTAATTATCGTTGTTAAGGCTTTTAATAAACCTGTATAAACCTGAGAATATTCTTCTCACTTGGTCTTGCATACTGACAACACCTAGACTTAGTTAGATATGCCTTGACATAGACCTTTCTGAATTAAGGGAAAGAACTCCAAAATTTTGTGAATTTATGAGGCCTGATTGAATCCAAGTATAAAAATTTAGAAAGCAACTTTCTAGTATCTTTTTTGGTCCATATATTTTTATTTGACTTCTAGAGCTTTAAGATTTACTATTATATTGTGTCAAAAATAGTTTGTTTTCAGCCAATATTGTTACCGTGTGCCAGGTGCTACATCATACCACGGAAATCTCAACCAGTAGAGAGCATGCTTGCAGCCCTCGAGGCCTGATGCAATTGTGGGAGTTAGTGATGACTGAAGACAGGTTTCTCCAGGGCTTACGGTGCTTACACTGTGCCACTCCCCCATGCCTCCGGCCACCAGAGGGCCTGAAGCAGTACAATAACATACGGGGGTGCCCAATTTTATCTCAGAGGTGGGACTCTTCAGTCCAAGGATAAGAGGGTAGGTGCCCAAGTAACTATAGGTAGATGCATCCATGTTGACAGCTTTCATCTCACACCAGTGTGCCATGCTTCCAGGGGGCAGCAGGGCCCAAAACAGCTCAGTCTGGGGTTAGGTTTTGGCTTCAGACTTGATTCTATAGAAGCTTCTTTATAGAGCCAGACGTGGTATGGATGCTGGAATGAATACTAACCATAGAGTAAAAAGACTCGGTTCAAGTTCCAGTTCTTTCATGCTCAACATATGTGGGCCAGGAAGGCTCCCTAAACTTAATTTCCTCAGAAGTAAAAAAGAAAACCCACTTCTGAGAGCTGTTGTGAGGCTACCATAAGGTAATATAGAGTGCGATATTGTAAACCTTAGGACAGGGAGTCTCTGGGAATAACCAGCCATCGGTGAATGACTCCTGGTGAAAGCTTTCTACCTCAAGGCAAAGACTCAAATTGTATCTGTGGTTTGAGAAAGTTCCTGTATCTCCTTTACCTACAAATAGGAAATACATAGGCAGTGGGAAGAACACAGGTCATCGCTGGTCCAATAGGGAAACAGTCAATTACATGAAATCTATGTTGAGGACCTTGATAAGTGCAGTAGAGGAGCTCATCTAAATCAAGGACAAGGACCCCGTTCCTCAGGAACATGAGCACTATTGCGAGAAAGTAAAGTCAGGTGAAATCATAAGGAGAATTCAAGGCAAAACCCAGCAGATTGGTGAATTGTATAGTTTAACCTGAAGGGAGTAGAAAGGACATCATTAAAATGAAAATTAAGAAAATCCATAAAAGTAAGTGGAAAGTGAGATTATGAATTCTGAAGAAAATAAAGATGTTTTATATTGATCTCATAGTAAGCAACCTCAAGTGTCTTTTAAAGTCGGCAAGGTATAATTTAAATTTTAATAAATATTGATCAACTAGAATCCTTAGGTAAAGACTAGAACCCCTTTTCAAAGAGTACTTCAAGTGATAAGCTACAGTGTGGAGATCTGAGGGATCCCCTGTACTTGATTGACTATCCCATGGCATGCAATATGCTGGAAACAAGTCCAGGGTCTGGAAGATTAAAATCTAGCATCACAAATAGAAGAAGGAAGAATAAAGAATCTCAGGTACAAAAAATTTTGTTAAATTGAAAATTCATGATATATATTTAATTTTTATAGACAATGAACCTAATCAACCTTTATCAAAAGACAGAGGAAAACACTGATTAAGCATACTACAATGTAAATTTCAATGAACACCAAATTGTGCATGATAATGAGGTTGCCAAAATTGGAAAGGTCAGGTCACATACCTAATAAAAACTGAGTGCTACATGACCAGTGGATCAAATTGTTTCAGTGATTTTAGTGAATAATGGAGATGAAGGTTTGACAGTGATTTCACTGCAATGAACTCTATCATCCCACTAGAATGAAATTTATTTACTTGGAAAGATATTTTCAAATAAAATCCAAGTTCTTAAAATGAGATAATTTATATCAGTCACCTAAAAACAAAATTCATAGCAGCAGATATGAAAGTCAGGTATTTGTAAGTCACTGATACTAAAAAAGGTAATTACATGCTATTTTCATTTCCTCTCATTATCACTTTAAGAATTCTTAATAATGCTCAAACTTCAGGATCAATGTATTATACAAAGAACTCCTTTAGTACATTCCATTAGCTAAATAGATGTAACTGTAAGGTAAAATTATATGTGTGTATTATTTCAATTCAAATATAATATTTATGTATGTTCATTTATATATATGTGTATATATATATATATATATATATTTATTTATTTATTTTACTAGAAGCCTGGTGCACGAATTCATGCACGAATTCATGCACGAGTGGGGTCCCTTGGCCTGGCTGGAGATCAGGACCGATTGGGCTGTCTTGCCCAGTTGGGGGTGGAGGGACAGTGGGAGGTTGGCCAACTGTGAGAGGTTGGCTGTGGGAGTGCACTGACCACCAAGGGCAGCTCCTGCATTGAGCATTTGCCTCCTGGTGGTCAGTGCACATCATAGCAACCAGTCATACCGGTTGCTTAGGCATAT